TGAGACTATCATTAGCACGTTACACTTCAGGACCTGGTTTAATGACGGGCGGCTGATACCCACATTCGAATCCCGGCTCTCCAGCAGTGCCGGCTCGTTGCTCAGACACAATATTATCTCTCCGAGCCACCAAGCCACCCGGCGGGCGCTTAAATATTCCCAGGGAATCTTCAAATGCCGTCTGTAGACTTTTTTTTTCTTCACGAGAATCCTTCGCGGGTTGTTTGCTTCTTCTTTCTTGTGGGAGGAAGCCGCCCGACCCAGAGAAAACCCACAGATTCAAGGGGTGATCCGTCAACCTCCCCCTCCCCACCGCCCCAAACCCCTTTTAAGTTTCTCGATTAGTGTGCGCCACCATTTCTGGTCTTAATTTTAAAAAAGGCGGTTTCAATAAAATTCCATGACACTGACTTTGGCGTGCGCATACCCGAGATCCGAGGATCAGACGATCCTGTGGAGGGCGCTCTGCCAAAACCCGGGATTTGGGCACATCAACAGGTCACTGGTGTCACGAATGCCCCCTCGGGCACTTTCTGTGAAACCCACGCTGAAGCAGCAGTAGCAGCTGAAGCAGCAGCAGCAGCAGCTCTCCGGGCTGATGAATGACAATTGCAAGCATGCAAAGGTCAACCCATTTTACAGCTTTTGACCGACGCTTGTGCTATAATTACAGATCTGGTTTCTTTGGTCAATGATGCCCGTGTAGTTAGTAAAACGTGTGGGAGGTCACACATGACCCTGCTATGAAAAGACTGGCTTCCATCCTAATGCGTAAATTCCACATTGCCATGATGAGAGCCAGCCTATGGATAGGAGCACCACCGCATTCTCATATTAGCATAGAGGCAGTTTGACTTTGGACTATTAAAGTAGAGATTTGAAGTCTCAACAAAAGGCCCCTTTAACAATAAACACACGACTGTTTGAAAGATCTGAACGCTCCCACTCGGTTACGATACCCGTGGCAAACGTGACAGACTCAATGCATTCCTCCAGCCTGCCTGCCTACCTGCACCTCCGATTAGCACGGTTGGCAACGTACGGTGCAAAAGAAGTTGAACATACGTACACAACATACCCGGTCAACGTATATTTAAAACACGTTCATAATTTCAGTGCATTGTACAAGCAGAGGCAATTGTGCTGCGTCCTCCCTGACGCATTGTCCCCCCACTATCCAATTGCACACACTTGCACCTGCGTGCAAGAATTTATTCATGGTCAGACAAAAGAAAAGAGTAACCCGAACCATCGCTTGGGTCAGTTGTTGAATTGTGGGATTGAAGACAGGCTGGAATACAATACATCAGGCAACAAAGGTAATAACATGATTAAGCTTACCCCCTCATTCACACGCAGCCATTCTATACTGTCTCACTTTAACCTGAAACGGCCATGTACATTTGAATCCTGCCAGCCATGAGGTCCAGCAGCAAAGCCAGCGTCCAGTACCACGTTGACCACGGCAACAGGCACAACCCTTGCAGCGGGCGAGTGCGAGTCGGCTCTGAGATTGGCGCTCGCGGGAGACAAAGTGAGGTGGCCAGAGGTGCTAGGCACCCAACTGTCGTGTCCACAGCAGGGAAATTGGCACCAAATCTACAAAATCAGTCGGACTTTCAACTTACTGGATATGCGGCCGTCCAAGAACAACTCTTACAGGACAATGTAAAGGGACACATTTTATTGACTATCATTCTTGCACTATTAAAATAGTATGATAAAAGGACATTTGATCCTTTTTGCTACGTACGGCGGGGTAGTTGATCAGCAACGTTATATGTTCAGGCGAACGATGGTGAGTGAGGCGGTGAAATGATTCAGGAGTAGCTGACTGAAATATCTTAAATGGTGCCAGCAAATGATGGAAGTGGCTGGTGGTATCACCATGTGGTCCATGGCACTGGATTGGTGACCGCAGTCGCACCGTGGGGTATTCTTAATTGTCCATCAGTGTAAGAGATCTGCCTTCTTTTATCAAAAATAAAAATGAGGGTCTCTATTCAACTAGGGATGCGTAAATGAGGCCCAAAACTCTGTGTCAGGATAGTCCTGTATTGGGATGTTTGGCCAATTCCATAAGCAAGTGTTTAGCTTGTGTAAAAGAGAACCCCATGCGTAAAATAGCCCACACTCCACATGCTATAGGAGAAATACAATGTGTTATATATTCAGTTGTCAAAAACAGAAATATGCATGGAATGTACAGTAAATATGGAAATAAATTGTTACAATAAACATTGCCAATATTTCACAAAAATTGTAACAGAAACCCACCCAAACAGTTCTACATATTCTGCAGGCTCGAAATATTTGAAATTAAAAATTAGAAGCACATGGGGTTGAGCAGTGGCACAGTGGTTCACACACTGCACTGTGAACCTGACGACATGAGTTTGATTCCGGGCCACGGCTAACAATAGTGGCAAGTGATATCTGAAACAATCACCAACCCCCTCTGAACAGGGTAATGAAGTATGGTCAATAAATCCCTACAACCAACACCGTGTGGGGGAGGCCTTCAACCAGCACTGGATAGAAAATCACAACAAAAGCATTAACATGCTCAAATTTCTGGCCACAGCTGTGGCAAAGTGTAATTGCTGCATGGAGAGAGCCTTCACCCAAGCTCTGGCTTGATAAAGGGCTGGGATGCATAACGAAGTGGCTTCATAATATCCGTGATTTTCTCGTGGAAAAGAGGTGTGGCCTAGCAAAATCACCCGACTACCCACAGATAATAGAGGATGCTCTGCAAAATGGGGCTCCCTCTAAGAGGAGTAACCCTTGTGCAACAGAAAAACCACTATTTCGATGCAATCATTCAAGAAAAGCACGAGTAACCCCTGCCCTCTCCACCCCATCTCACAGTGGCAACCACAGTTTGCTTCTAGCAGGAAAAGGAGGAAGTGCTGCAAGGGGGGGGGGGGGTATGAGGATGGTGGTGGTGAAGGGCTGGTCGGAGGGGACGGGTAGTCATGTCTCCCTAAACTGTAACGCTCAATAAAATTGCCGAAGCAGAACAGATCGGCTCACTTGGAAGGAGTCCCACCGCTCTGAAAAATAAAGCTCTCTGGCTACGGCTCTTCCTGGCCGTGCGTGGACTTGACATTGGAGCACGCGCTGAGCTTTGCAAAGCGCTGCCCATCCTCTGGCGAGCGAGATAGATTTTTGTTTTTGCACCGGAGACGGCCAAAACCGAGGCATGAGAGACAAAGTGAGGTAATACAAGGTTCATGCAGCCTTAAGGGCATTAAATGAAAATAAACTGCACTCATCCCAGCATGGCAAAATGAATCCCGTACAAGCTGCACAGACATTCCACTGCAAACACCGGCTCTAGACTCATATACGTGAACGCTAAACACACACATTGCTGACAAGTGCATGGACACTGACTCAAAGAGAAATGCACACGGCCAAGATGAACAAAGGCTAGCAGCACAGGAAGACAGGGCTAACGTAAAGAAAGAGACATGAACAAAACGCTTAGAAGAGAATGCGCACGAATACACCCGTAAAATGAAATACAGGAGAATTTCTCTCTTCCGTGGGGATTCTTAGAGTCGGCGAAAACTCCCATTTCCCACGGAGGTGTTTTGACAATCATCCGTCGTCATCCATGACTTTTCTCGTAAAGTCACTGCGGGAATAGCTTCCAATTACCTGCAAAAGGAGCTGTGCCAGCAATTTACTCAATTATCCACAATTATCCACGATAAGTGTGAGTACATTTACAGACAACCCCGCGATATGGGTCTCCAACATCACCACAGATAAGAGACGATCTCCTGTGTTGCAATACCATAGTTCAATTAATCCAATCATAACGCAATTATTCCACAACAAAAACTGCACGGGTGTTTTGGGCCATATTAATATAATACTCCGCTCCATTGGAAACTCTCAAGTATTTTTATTTAAACACGAGACCGCATGTCTAAACAACTTTCAACAAACATCCTGAGTGCCGCTTCCTGTTTTATTTTGATTTTTTTTAAGTGAAAGAGACAGAGAAAGAGAGAGAAAAAAAGTGGAACAGGGAAATCCCAAGAGGTCCCCACGGGGTTGGCGAGAATGAGATGGCAAATGGTCATTTGGCTTTTCTCACAGCAGTGTCCCAGCATGGCCCTAGCATTGTGCGATCTTCACACAGCCACATGACCTAATCTGCCAGATACATCCCCTACAGGTTTGAAACAACATAAAATGTACTGGGTATGATATATGTGGACACGAAATTGCTATACACATCGGTGCACTGCATATATGTGTGTGCGTGCAATACCGTACGCACATGTGGATAGAAATCAAACTCAGGTCACCAGGTTTACAGCGCAGTTCAATTGCTTGGCTCCGGCTAACATTAGCGGTGAGTAATATCTGATCTGGTGACGACATCAGAACTTATCTTGAGCCCCTCCTCCACCAAATCAGATTCAAATGAGTACCTGGTGTCGTGTGTAAATATCAGCGCTGGGAAGACAGAG